GCGGAGGGGCTGGTGCAGAGCCCTGTGCTTGGCCACCCTGGCTCCCAGGGAGCAGCCCTGCACCTGCCCCATTGTCTTCCTCCTCTGCCTCTTTCTCGTCCTCCTTCTCCCCCATGGGGCAGTATCCTCTCCCCTGGACCCCGCAGTCCCCTGTGCGCCAGGGTCTCCTGCCTGCTCAGGTCCCACACCTCGGTTGTGGGGCTTGGGGAGGACAAGGAACCAGCCGAGCATGTCCCCTTCCACCCCATAGCTATCTTTCCACACCCCAGTGCCCGGAGCAGCCCCTCAGCAGGTGGCCTCAGTGGCATGGGGGGGGGAGCAGCAGCCCCGCCCCAGGTACGGCCAGGGGTGTGGTGGCCTCTGCCATCCCTGCATGCTGTTGGTGTTACCAAATATGCCGCCCCCCCCCCCGCGTGTTTTCCCCCCCCCCGCGTTTAGCCAGAGCTGCAGCCCCCAAACCCTGGGGGGTGTTGGGACCTGGTGTTCCCCCCCAACCCCCAGCTGCCCACCCCTCTCCATGCCTAGCTATGCTGGTAACCCACCGGAGCTCACTGCCTTTTCCGTGCGGCTTTTCCCTGATGTGGGTTTTAGCGTGCAGAAGAGAGGGTGGAGGGAATGGGCAATGGGAGTGCGAGGTGACTCGCCTTTGCAGCAGGGATGGGGAGGTGGCTGGTGGTGAGCAAACCCCCTCATCCGCAGCCTTAAATTTGCTACCTGCAAATTTAAACCGCATTGAAATTCTCAAACACTGCCCCGAAGCCGTGTCCCCCATTGGGGTGGGCAGGAGGTGAGGAGGCACAGGGCAGGGTGGCCATGATGGCACTGGGGAAGCGGGGGGACTGGATTTCAGCTGGGGATGGGGGGGTATCTGCCCCTGCCCCAGGCTGTCCTCTGAGCTGCTTCCCTGCCTGTGGGTGCTGCTTCGGGGAAAACTGCACCGTCACAGCCCCTTGTCCTGCGCGGGGTGGGAGGTGAGCAGGGAGCAGCCGCCGGGCTCGTCTCGCAGGTGCCGATGTTGCCGCGTCATCCTGGCCAGCTGCCCCCAGGGTCCCCCACTGTCCCCGTTGTCCCCAGAGGGAGGGTGGGGTCCTGCGGTCCCAGACAGAGCTGGGGGACCCCAACAAGGGGTGTAGGGGAAGGGCTCATTAAAACAAAGCCTGTCAGCAGCTGAGAACACCTTGGCTTGGGAGGTGCAGCCAAACAGGGCATCTGCCCTTGCCACTGAGGTGATGTGGGGAGGTGCACAGACAAAAGGAGAAACTCGCCTTGGATTTCCCTTGGTGCAGGCAGCTCTTCATCTGCTAGAGCTGCCTGCGGCCCCGGTGAGGCAGCCCCTGCCCCATGCTGGGCGCAGGGAATGGGGCATCCTGGCCATGCCGGCCACTGTTAGCATCATTCAAACCCCGGTGTCCTGCAGCACCCAGGGGACAGGCAGCACAGCATGTCCCCGCAGCATCCTTAGGGGAAGAGTTCGCTGCAGGTGGCACTTGGGGACAATGCTCCCCATCCCACTGGTCACCTCTCAGCGGTGGCAGGAGGGCTGCCAGTCTGTAGCCGTTGGACTTAAGAGAGCTCTCATTAGCTAATCTCTGCCCAATTAATCTTAGCTGATCCAGTTAATCCTCGCTGTTTAGGCCTTTCGCTCATCACCGAGGGCTGGCGGGTGTGCCGGTAGGGGTGGGCAGAGCGCAGCAGGCTGCGCAGGATACAGGGGAAGAGATGCCCTGCAGAGTTGGGGGACAGGTCCGGATGTGCCCCCTGGCACCATGGCCCCAGGGGCTCTGCTGTCCTCCTCTGCCATTTCCCTTGTGTGTGGGGTGGCCCCAGGAGGAGGCGGGGAGGGAGCAGGGAGTGGGGCCATGGTGCTGGCCCGCTTCCAGCGAAAGGTTGATAGCGGCTTATTGAATTTCTCTCGATGGCAGATTAAGCAGGCGGTGGACTGTCCCCAGGCAGAGTGAGCTGGCTGGGCTCGAGCCGCCTGCTTGCCCTGCCTGTCCACAGCTTGCCCGCTGCAGTGTGTCCCCTCTTTCTGCAGGATGCTGAGTGCCTGTGGCCAGTGATGCTGATGCTGGCCATGGCTGGTGGTGCTGCCACGTTACATGGGCTCAGGCTGAATTCCTCGCCACGGCCGAGATGAGAAAATAAGAGTCAGGGGAAGGAGAGGAGGCTTGGGAAGGAGCTGGGCAGGGGGCTGCCAGTGCTCCCCAAGGGGGCATGGTGCTGCCAGTGGTCCTTGCGCCGCTGTGGTGGAGATGGGACTAGACTGCGGCAGAGGAGCAGGAGGGAAGCGGCGTGTTGTCGGCCGAGGAAGCCGAAGGAAATGGATGGAGACAGAAAATGGAGCCGAGCTTGTGGCTCTGCAGCAGGGAATACCGTCAGGGAGAGGAGCCCGTGCCACTGGGCTAGGCGAGCCAGATGGATTGCTGGGAATAAGCCGGGATGTGGGCATAGGGATGGCAGGGAGAGAGGAAGGGTTCTGCTGGCGAGGAGGGGGCTTCTCACGGCCAGCAAGGGTGGGCTGGGGGGCTACTGGTGTGGGGCTGAGCAGGCACTCCTGGCAAAGGAGGGTGAGCAGCCACCAATGGAGGGCATGCATCAGTGCCTGGAAGACGGGGTGCCTGGAAAAGTGGGTTGAAAGAGAAACCAGAGCTGCTTCATGGGAAGTGATGGGGCTGTGATGGGAACGGTGCAGGGGCAGGAGGGAACGAGGGCAGGGTCTGAGGCTGCCTGTGACGGGCAGCAGTCGGTCCTGGGGCTGGTGGGGTTGCTGATGGGTGTGCCCTTCTGGTGCTGGTGGCTCTTGCTGAGGGCTGTGCCACAAGGCGGGAGCCCAGGGACCTGACCCACCTCTTCGCAGCCCTGGGAGCTGGAGAGACTGCAAAGTGGGGGGAAGAAAGCTGTCCCAGCTGTGGAGGAGGAGAGGGAAGCGTTTGACATGAGCAGTTTTTGGTTGCTGCGTGGGGTTTAGCCCAGCAACGGATCCATCATCCCTGAGGACCAGCAGTGCTGCAGGGTGGAGCAGCTCGAGCCGATGGCATTGTGAGGATGCAGCCCTTCCACCCAGGAATATATCCCATCGTTTCATGGCAAAACCAACTTTTTCATTCCCCTTTGGCAAGAAGTCCTGTTTAATTTTTCCTTTCTCCCCCATCTGAGTAAACAGCAAAGTGGGGAAAGCAGAGGCCTGCTGGTATGCGGCAGCCTGCTTGCCGGTTCAGGAACTCAACGGTGGTGGTAAACACCCGCTTAAAATAATCTGCGCTCAAGAAAACCTGAGACCAAATGCTTGAACTCTGGAGCTGGTGGGATTTAAGGGTGTGATTGCTGGCTGAGCGCAGTGGGAACTCTGGAGCTGTCCCAGCAGGGTAGCGAGAGGACGGTTTGGGAACTCTAACAGGAGATTTGTCCTCCTGCTGTTGGGGATGCAGGCTCGCTTTTAAAACAGGTGAAGCATTTTTGAAAGCGCTGAGCTTACAATACTTTCAGGCTGCAAATTTTCCCACTGTGCCATGAATACACCTGCCTTTGGGCAGAGCATACATTGGTTTTCCTCCCACCCCCTTTGGAAATGAAACCGGAGCTGTCAAACCTCAGTTAGTTTTAAAGCCATCTCCTTCTCTTGGGACACTTTCCATTCTGTGGATTTATTTTTTTTCTTCTTTCTTTTCTACAAATTCAGCTGTATTTTTCACTTCCACCGTGGGAAAACCCATCTTGTGTTGAGGACCCATCCTTACTGCGCCACTTCCTTTGGGTCATGGTCCACGTAACCAGAGCTGTGCCATTGCTCGCTCCTGATTGCCTTCATCCCAGAGCGAGCATCCCACTGGCAAAGACCAGGCTCAAAAAGCCCCAGGGCATTTGCAAACACCCTTGCAGGAGTCCCGCAGGCAGGAGTCCCGCAGGCAGGGATGCCGGAGGAGCTGGTGCCTGCCCGTGCTGCGGGGTGCTGAGCTCCTCTTCCACCAGCAGGCTCAGCCTGGGCAGCCAGGGAGCAGGGGATGGGCAGGAGAGGGCATGGACATTAGAAGGCAGGAATGGATTTTTTCAGGGCTGATCCCAAAGGACCTGGTGGTCAAGGGAAGGATGCCAGCATCCTTTTCTGGCCAATGCTAGTGAGGCTTAACTGGGGCTCGGAGAGGGTGGGACAGGCTGCAGAGAGCCTGGACACCAATGCTGGGATGAGCGGCTGCTCTGGGAGATCTTAAAGAGTGGTTCATTTTGTCTTGTGACATTTGTGATTAATAATTTATTAGCAAAAGGAGTGGAAAAATGATTGTGAGCTGGGAGCTTCAGCTAAGTGTGATCGCCACCGGCTTGCTGGCTGGTGCTGCTCCTGCTGACACCACGCTTCTGCTTTTACCGGGAACGGAATGAGAGGCAAATACCAGCAGTTGTGTTCAACAGCCGCCTCCTTTCTTGAAACGAATGCCATCATTTTCCTCCCCCGCCTTCCACCTGGTCCTGCTGCCCAGTCCCTGCTCTGCTGGGGCTGGAGCGGAGGCAGGAGGCTTGGGTGATGGGCAGGGGTTTGTGGGCTTGCTTGCGAGTGAGGGGCTACCTGCTCAGTGCCATTGGCACCCCGGGATGGAAAAACCGTTCCTCAGGGGTGACGCAGGTGCTGGTGCTGCCTACGTGGCCCTGTCCCCTGCTGTGGGCGTCCACTGAGTGATGCCGCAGGGTGATGGAGACTCTGGGTGCTGCCCTGGGGTAAGGGCAGGGATGTCCCCTGGGACTGAGCAGGGGGTCCTGACCCAAGATACAAGGGGGAGGCGGGAGATGCAAAACACAGGCAGATTGAGGGATGAAACAAAATGTCATCTTTCGGGCAGAGGTAAACCAGCATTCCCGGGAGGTTTCGTTGCACAGGCTTTCCATTCATTTTTCCGGCATGGCTGTGAGATGGGGATTGGGATGCGAGCTTTCCTAACTCCCTTTTCTTCCCTCCTTGCAGGACAGCCGCTGCTCCCCACTAGCAGGACCCACCTCCGGCCAGCGCGATGGCGGGAGCATCCGTGAAGGTGGCGGTGCGTGTCCGGCCCTTCAACTCCCGGGAGATGAGCCGGGAATCTAAATGCATTATCCAGATGTCGGGAAGCACCACCAGTGAGTGCCGGTGTTGTGGGCAGAGGGGCCTGGGAAGGCTTTGGGTGCTGCCCGGGGAGAAGCGTGCATGGTCCAGCCACAGTGGCGAGCACTGGGCTGCTGGGTTCTTTGGTGTGGATGCCCATAGCATCAGGCATTGTTTGGAGGAGGGAATCAGGGGGGGATGTCACCTTTCTCACGGGGAAATGCAGTCCTGCTGTTGAAACAGCAGTGGCAGGATCTACATGGCACCGAGCCCTTGGGTTTCGGTGGTACCAAATGGGGCAGCATCCCCTGGCAGGCGAAGGGGGAGGAAGAATCAGAAGAGCCTGGAAAAGCCAGTGTGCGGATGTGGAGCTGAGGGTGCCCAGCCTGCGGTCACCTGCCGAAGCATGGAAGCCATGCACTGGCCAGTGAGCAGCTCCTGACGGCACTGTCTGGCTGGGTACCGTGCACTGTGGTGTGCCAGGACCCATCCCTGCTTCTGTGGGGCTTGGAGCTGCAACACCAGCAGGATGGAGTGGCAGGAGCAGGATTTGCTGAGGGAACGGTGTGCTTGGGGAGGGGGGATGTAGCATGTGGGCTTGGGGCCAACTGTCCAGTCAGGAGCCCATTCGGCATTTGCCCCTCTTTAAATAATGGCTTCTGGAAGTACGGGGTGGGAAAGGCGGCCGAATCCCTCCTCTTTGGCTCTGGAAGCCTCCAGATGGGACAGTGTCTAAAATAACTCCCTCCCTCCCTGCCTGCCTGCCCGGGGCTTCCTGCGTCATCAGTGGCAGTGGGTGAAACACTGGTGCCAGCCACCCCCGCAGCGCGTGCTGTCAGGCTGCCATGACAACCCTGGCAGGAGGGAGAGGAGGACACCCAAGGGTGCAGGGCGGCTCTGTGACCCTGCTGGGTCCCTCGCTCACCCTAGGCCTGGGGAACAGGAATGGGGGGGTCCATGGAGCAGCGTCTGCTGGTCTCTGGTGTCCCAGGGGGGCTCTCTCTGCCCGGTTGCGCAGGGATGCTCTGTCAGCCCGGGGTGCGGAGCTGCTCCCCTCGTGGCGAGAAAGCCTTTCTGGCCCAGCAGGAGCTGCACATGTGCCCGGGCCTGGGTGCAGGCAGGGGAGACATCCCTTCTGGCCCTGACGGGTGGGGGGAACCTGCCACGCCCCAGGCCTGGTCAAGAGCATCGGGCATCCCCCACCTCCACCATGGCTGTGTTTGTTTAGAGTGATCTGCCCATGCCCATCCTGCTGCCCCCAGCCCTACTTTCTGCAACGCACCCCCAGGCCATACCCCAGGCCCCTCATCCCCCTGCCTGCGCTGGTGGGGCCAGCAGGGCTGCAGGCAGGGGCAGCGCCTGCGCCCCGGCCAGCCCTTTGCTGACAGCGAGGTTTTTCTCCATGAATGGACAAACCATCGGCTAATCCCCTCAGCTGGGGGGCAGGCACCGGCGGGGGGCTCTGGTTCCTGCTTATTCTGCTGGCTGGGGGAGGCAGGAGGATGCCAGTAGTGCCAGCTGCCCCCCCTGCAGAGTGGGACTGTCTCGGCCCCCCAGCTCCTCACAGAGAAGCCAAAAATAAATGTGATTGCGGGGAGTAAGAGCAAGTTTCCTCCTTCCTGGGATTATTTGCAGAGACCCCCCCCATGTACTGGAGTGGGGGAGGTTGTTGTTCTGCCTAATTCATTAAGCCCCATGGGGGGCAGCAGGCGCTGGGGGCCGGAGCAGGAAGGGGTCAGCCCTTCTCTGCTGTTCTTTTCCCCCCAGACTTACAGCCACCGCCCCCTTGGCTCACTGTGCTGCAGCTGCCCGCCTGCCCACCAACACTACCGCTTTGTTCCCGTGGCATCCCCCCCTCCACGTGGCCGCGGGGACCAGCCCGGGCACCAACACCCCTGGCCCCTCTCCTGGCAGCTTCTGCCAGGACGGTGAGGAAGGAACCCCAGTTTTCATCTTGCAAGGCCATTAATATTCTCCAGCCGGAGCTGTGCCTCCGCGGGCTTTAAAATACAGTGATTATTTTCTCTCCTGTGGGTCTTGTGTTTTATCCTGCTCAGTGCTTGCCCACTTGCTACACTCTGCTATGCCACTGGCTCTTCAGGGTGAAGACGAAGGTCATCTCCAGATGTTTTCCTCCTCCCCTCTTGTCTGTACGTCTGTCTCCCCCCCGTCCTTTTTTAATCCCCTTTGGCTAGAGCACGAATCTTTTTGCAGCAGCTTTGCAAAAGCCCTGGGATGCCTGGTCACAGGAGAGGAAAAAAAATACCAGTGGCATCCAGCCGCACGGGGGCAAATAAACGGGAATGAAAGGGGCATGGGGAGAGCGTTTCAGCTCGGGGACGGGAGACCTGCTGCTCTCGGTGTGCTCCTTTCTCCTCTGTGTCCCTGTCTCCGGCCTGCCAGGCCAGCTGGGTGGCTGCAGCTGGGATGCCTGGAGCCACTCGGCGCCATCCCCAGCTGCTCCTCCGCCCCGTGTCCAGTGTGGGCTGGCACTGGGATGCAGAACAGCTGCCATCCTGCCCACTCCTGCTTTTGCCCCTGTTGGACTCATTTTTGGGGGGGTGATGCTCCCATTTGCTCCGGCAAGGGTCACCTCTGCAGGGCATACACAGACCCAAGCCGGGGGGACGGGTGGCATAGCGGAGCTGCCAGGTGAAGCCCAGGAGCCAACGGAGATGTTCCATCTGACTTCTTGCATGGCCTCCGCACCTGCTTCTCTTTGCAATGGCTGCTCACACGCCCTCAACACACTAACCAGGCACTGGCAGGGATGGGCAGCCTCCATGGCTGTCCAGAAAGGCCTGGTGTCGTTTTGGTCTGGATCTCAGCAAGGGACCTCCACGTCCCTGTTTGCAGCTGTGGGATGGGCAGTTGCTATGGGGATGTTGCTTCCCAGCCCCTTCTCCTGAAAGAGCAGCTCTGGCTTTGGTAATTAGTCTGCGCGGGATGCAGGAGGCATCTGGAGCATCTGAGTCACACTGCCTCCAGTGGGCAGGCAGGCAGGAAGCCAGCGCCTGGCCCCTCTGGTGCTGGAGCTGGGCTCCTGCCCACAGTGAGGGGGATTTGAGCAGCACCATGCTGCGGTTTCGTGATCGGGGCTGGATCCTGACCCCACTTCCCACCCTCCACCTGCCTGCCTCGCTGCCTTTTGCGGGCAGGGATGGACAGGTCTCAGGCCAGAAGTGGCGGATCCCTCCCAGGGGAGAATCTGTTGTGGCAATGGAGGAGGAATTTGGAACAGAAAGCAACTGCCACGCATCGGGGCATCTTCCCCCATGGGAGTGGGCTGCGCCATGCCTGGGGCTGCTTGGGAAGGTCCCAGCTTGAATCCTGAGCAGGCACGAGCCCTGGCCAAGCACCAGCCCCAGGGCAGGGCAGGTTGGGGCTGTGATGGAGGGAGCTCCGTCGGCTTTGGTGTTGTATGGCCTTGTCCCCGGCAGTGGCAGGGAGCAGCTGGGGGCTGCGGGCACAGGAGCTGTGCTGCGCCAACCCACAAGGTCATTTCAGTGTCGCCTAACATGGCTGATGGCTGGATCTCGTGATTACCCTGCCAGTTTGGGTTTCTTCTGACACATCTGTTGTTTCAGAAAAAAACCCGAGTACTACAAAAGACCCCTCCCAAAACACGGGGGGGGGGGGGGGGGGAAGTGGTGAGCGAGGAAGAGAAGTGATGCAGTCTCCAATTTCCATGGCAACGTCCTTTTCACCAGGGGATGGGAAAAAGCAGGCTCTTGTTTCCGCTGGCGGTGTAAAATGAGGCATTAATTACCCTGCTGAGGCTGGGTACCCAAAAGAAAGTGCAGGGGAAGAGAGGCAGGAGCCGGAGGGGGCCTGGGGGAGCCCCGATGGGGCCACAGCCACTCCCACCCCACAGCGCCAACACATGTGGCTTTGGGCACGGCCCCCCCAGCTGTGGGGTGAAGGAAGGGTGTGATCCTCCCGTGCCGCTGCCAGTGCTGGGCTCCCACGGGCAGGTGCCGAAGCAGGGAGGAGCCCAAGGGAAGGAGCTGTTTCCCCCACACCATGCCCAGCATTTGGGCAAGGCTCTGCCCTGCTCCCTGGGCTGGTGTAGGCTCTGCTGGCCGTGGCACCTACCTCCTCTGCTGGGACTGTTGGGGTCTGGGGGCTCTGGACCCATCTGTGGAGCTGGAGGGTCCTGGTCCTGCTTTCCAGGACTGATTCAGACTGAACCCCATCACCCTTCTCCCCTCATGAGCGGGATGTGCATGGCGGGGGTACCACAGGTAGCTGGGTGGCCTCATGTTCCCATCTGTTTGCCCCTAGCTATCCTGAACCCGAAGCAGCCCAAAGAGACACCAAAAAGCTTCAGCTTTGACTATTCCTACTGGTCCCACACCACGGTAAGTGGCGGGAGGCCTGAGGCCGCCTGAAGCACTGGGCTGGGCTGGAGAGAGGCAGGAGGACCTCCTTGCCAAATTTCTCCTTGTCCCCTTCCTCTCTGCAGCCCGCAGACATCAACTATGCATCTCAGAAGCAAGTGTACCGGGACATTGGCGAGGAGATGTTGCAACATGCCTTCGAAGGCTATAACGTCTGCATCTTTGCCTACGGGCAGACGGGTGCTGGAAAATCCTACACCATGATGGGGAAGCAGGAGAAGGACCAGCAAGGCATAATCCCGCAGGTACCGCCTGGTGAAAAGCTGCCTGTTCCCATGGTCCCAGAGGGATGCCCAAAGGAAAAGTGGAGCGGGGAGGGAAGAGGGGAGCAGGGCGGGAGTGGAGCCAGGCTTTGCTAAGTTCTACCGCAGCCCTGCTGCGGCAGCGAGCCGGCACGGCTCTGCCGGAGCACAGGGCGACAAGGAGGTTCATGCCAGACTCCTCCAAGACCAGATGAATTACGGTCTGGCCACATGAGGCTGGTGTTTGTGAGCAGCAGTAGTCCAAGTGCTGAGCCCCTGCCAGCTGTGCTTGCCGAAAGCTGCTGTGTGCTGGCCCAGCAGGACGCTGGGGGGTATCTGGGGATGCTAAGCCCCCCATATCAGCAGGGGGGGTTCTGCCAGTTCCCCAGGACCCATCCCAGCACTCAGGGGCTCTGGTTTTTGGGGTGAGAAGGTAGAAATCCCTGTGGCCTGGGCATCCTGGGCAGGAGCATCCTTCTGGTGGGGGGCTGAGCAGCCTGGCTCTTCTCTCCGCAGCTGTGTGAGGACCTCTTCTCCCGCATCAATGACACGACGAATGACAACATGTCCTACTCTGTGGAGGTAGGCACCCCATTGCCTGCCTAGTCTGGCTCCAGCCTCCCACCCGGCTCTGCAAGCCATGTCAGTGTGCAGACCCCTCTTTGGGGTGTCCCGTCCCTGGGTGTGGGGTGGGTGGGCAGGGCCTGATTCTGCCTACGCACGGAGTGTCCACGTCCTGCCAGCCACTAGCCCTGCCCATGCCCTCTGCTCTAGGTGAGCTACATGGAGATATACTGTGAACGCGTGAGGGACCTCCTGAACCCCAAGAACAAGGGGAACCTCCGGGTGAGGGAGCATCCCCTTATGGGCCCGTATGTTGAGGACCTTTCCAAGCTGGCCGTGACCTCCTACAATGACATCCAGGACCTCATGGACTCTGGGAACAAGGCCCGGTGAGTTGGGGGAGCAGGAGATGGTCAGGATTTGGAGAGCTTGCAGACATCTCCAGAAGGTCCCTGCTTAACTTCCTTGCTTTGCTGGTCTGGCTGCTCTGGAGGTGACAGTCCCCTCCTGTCTGAGCATTGGATACCCCCACACTTATTTTCACTTTACCTCCTTCCTGCTCTCAAAACACCCTGGAGCCAGCAGGAGAAAGCCTGGACTTTTGCATGCCTCCTCCCAGAGTCCTCTCCTGTCCTCCAAACTTGCGTTCCCATCACGTACCCTGTCCTGAAATGAGCCCAGGCCCCAGCACCAGCTGCTCCAGTGTCCCCTGCAGAATGTCATACCTCCCTGTCCTCCTCTCCCCGCAGCACAGTGGCTGCCACTAACATGAACGAGACCAGCAGCCGCTCCCATGCTGTGTTCAACATCATCTTCACGCAGAAGCGGCATGACGCTGAGACAGACATCACCACTGAGAAGGTGAGAGCAGAGCCTGGGTGACGTGGGGGAACGCACATGGACCTGGGAGAGGCTTTGTGTGCTATCGACAGCACTTGGGATGAGATGGTGCGGCCTGATGGAGGGTTGAAACAGGATGGAGATAAGTCCCAGGCACATGCTGGACTCATGGTCCCTCAAGGGACTGGCCCCTGGACAGGATATTTGGCAGTTGGTGCCCTCCAGCCCTGCCTGCAAGGATGTTAGCCCTGCTCCTGGCCAAATCCTGGCAAGGATGACCCCACAGAGCCCACCTCTGCCTTCAGAGCAGTGTCACCTTGCAAGAGGTCTTTGCTCCCTCCTCAGCTCTGTGCCGGAGCCTGGTTTGCTGTGCCTGCCAGGGCTGACAGCCTCGTCTCTGCCTGCAGGTCAGCAAAATCAGCTTGGTGGACCTGGCAGGGAGTGAGCGAGCCGACTCCACTGGTGCGAAGGGCACAAGACTAAAGGTGAGAGCTGGCGCAAGGTCCCCTTCTGCCACTGGGGATGCCGTGTCCTGCCCCCTCGTCCCCAGCTGTGACATCTCCTTTCCTTGCCTGGTTCCTTGCCCACTACGCTGCCACAATCCTTGATGGGGTTTTGTTTGAAATCTGCCCAGTGCCAGTTCCACTGGGGTCCATGAGTCCCAGCTGGGAGGTGCTGGTTACCCAGTAAGACCAGCTGCTCTTTGCCCACCCTGTACTGGGACTTCCTCATCCTCCTGGAGCACCGGGCTTTAGCGCCGCTCTGAAATGGGACCTGAGCATCTGGGCTTTTCCTCTCTCCGCTAGGAAGGAGCAAACATCAACAAGTCCTTGACCACGCTGGGGAAAGTCATCTCTGCCCTGGCCGAAATGGTAGGTAGCTGGAGCACAGATGAGTGGCAGCACTGCGGGGGAATGGGCTCAGATCAGCAGGGATGGGCTCAGCTCTGAGGGATGGAGCATCCCGGCTCCAAGAGACAGGCAGATACATCCCAAGCTGTCCCCAGGGCTGGGACAAGCTGGGCTGGTGAGGCTGCCATCTCCCCAGGGATTTGCACCTGCCGCTCTCTGCTTGGGGGATGGGGAGCTGTTGTGGGCGCCGAGGAGGGGAGCAGCTCACTTAAACAGTCTCTCCACTTTTCTTTGCAGGATTCGGGGCCGAACAAGGTAGGTGCCCTGGCTGGGCTGGGGAAAGGGGGTTGGTTTTTAGCACAGGCGGGTGGGAGTGAGTCGCAGGGTGGTGTGGGGGTGGGGCTCTTCCTGGACCCAAGCCACACTTCTCCCGGGGGCTGGCAGAGCCCTCAGCATCCTCATCACCCTCCTCACCCTGTGGCTGTCAGTACTCAGCATTAAACAACTGCCTGACCCAGGCAGAGCATTTCACAGGCAGGACCTGTGGAACTGAGCAGAGCTGCCTGAGGTTGCGGTAGCCGGGCAGAGCCATCCTCCGCCGAGTCCCCATGGCTGGGGACTGGCTGTCACCTTCCCTTTGAAGTGAGCAGGCAGCCTGACAGCCCTTCCCTCCACTTTCTGTCCCCCAGAACAAAAAGAAGAAGAAGACGGATTTCATCCCGTACCGGGACTCAGTGCTGACCTGGCTGCTGCGGGAGAACCTGGGTGAGGACATGGGTGGGAGGTACAGGCTTGGCGGCAGGCATAGCTGCTGAGTGGAGGGTGACAGCTGGCATGGGGACCAGCATCTCCCTGATGCAAGTGTATGTCTCCGGGCAGGGGGCAACTCCAGGACAGCCATGGTCGCTGCTCTCAGTCCTGCCGACATCAACTACGATGAGACCCTCAGCACCCTCAGGTAGGAAGAAGTACCCTTGTCCCCCCACAGCGGGCGAGGGCAGGGAGGGTCTCTGAAACCCAGGCACTGCCACGTGCTCTCCTCACCTCTGTGGCAACCCTGGCTGGGGGGGTGCTGTGGGGGGACCCTGCAACCTCAGACAAGAGGCCAAAGGACTGCCCCGGCGCTGGGATCCTCCAAAGGATTGCTTGCTGGAGTGGCTCAGTGGTACTCCCGCTTGCCCAGCAGCTGGGGGTTTGCCCCCCCTGCCACTGCTCAGGGCTCTGTCCTTCCCTAGGTACGCCGACCGTGCCAAGCAGATCCGCTGCAATGCTGTCATCAACGAGGACCCCAACAACAAGCTCATCCGGGAGCTGAAGGATGAGGTGGCACGCCTGCGCGACCTTCTCTACGCCCAGGGCCTTGGGGACATCATTGACAGTAGGTACCGCCTGATGCTCTCTGGCAGTGGCTCCAGGCAGAGGTGGGCTGGAGTCCCCCCTGCCTGTGGGGCTGGCATCCCCGCAGCTGCCCTGCATCCTGCTCTGCCGGGCATGCGGCAGCATCACGCTGCCGAAGCGTGGCCGGGACACCTCCGATGAGCCCCTGTGCATCTGTTCACAACCCCCAGCCCACTCCCATAAGCAGGAGGAGCTGCTTTACACCCAGCAGACCTCCCTTTCTCCCCCTCCACCTCCCGTCTTCAGCATACTGCAGCCGGCAGAGGTGCCAGGAAGATGTCCCCGGGGCTGCACCTACCCGTGGCCTCTCCTCTGTGTGCTGTTGGAAATCCTACTGAGATGAACCCACTCTTGTTCTGTTCTCTCTGTCTTACCTCCGCTCCCTGCCCTCTCTCTCTCTCTCTTAGCCCATCCTGCTGCAGGAGGATCCAAATGTGTGTATTCCCCATCACTGGTACTCTCTGTTGCTTCACGGCTTTTGGGAGGCGTAGGCTGTGCGCAGGGGCACCTGTGCAGCATGGGGAAGGGCTCCATGTAGCTGGCCCCAGCTGATGGAGAGGTGCTTGCCCACAGGCTGGCCGTCCCCAGGGAGCTGGCAAAGGGGATGGTGGCAGAGTCGCGGTTAGCACCTGGGCTTGGGATAGCGCTCGGAGGGACCAGTGTCCTCCCCCTCCACCATGCCAAGGGCCTGATCCCCACAGGGACTCCTTCCTCCATGCTGTCATGATGTTTCCTGTTGCTGCTGCTGCTGCTTCTGCTGGCGCTGGGGCTTGTCGGGACTGGAGCCCGGCACGGCGCTTGGGCGGGCTGGCACGGTGCTCTCCTGATAGAGGGGTGTGTGGTGACGGCCAGGAGGTTTTTGCCTGTGGATAAGCACTATCGCCCCATCCCCGCCCGGCCAGGCAGTGTAGCCAGGCTGTGGCAAGCCTGCTGAGGAGATGGGGACCTGGCCCGTCCCCTCCTGGCTCAGCTCCCCCGGACGTGGGCTGATGGAGATGGGTGACTAACGCTGCACCCGCTAACCTGTGCCTTGCCCGCCTCCGGCACAGTGTGCCGAGCCCCTGTGACTTCTTGGGGCTGGAGGAGCATCTCTGATACCTCAATCCCTTTGCCATGGGGTCTGGTGGCAGCTGATGCTCGGGGTGCTGGCAGGCAAGCGCTGCTGCCTGTAATGGGCGTGTTGCCACTCTGCTCTCACTTTGTTCTCTCTCTCTGGCTGCCTGGCCCAGGCGCTGCTCCAGCAGGCCGGGGGCTTGGCCTCTGCCAGTGAGGGGATCCCATGGCTCCTCCTGTTCCGTCCCCCCAACCCCTTTGTAGGGTGGAGGGCCACCACCTCTCCTCCCCTTCCCTTCTCATTCTCTGTCCCCAGATCCAGCTAATCTGGGGCAGCCGGGCAGAGAAAACCACCTGGGCTGTATCAGTGGGGGAGGATGACAGGGGCAGTGGCACGCTCTTGGTGAGGACGGTTGATCCCAGACCTGATGGCTGCAGGATCTGGTGTTGCAAAAAAGCATCCCCAGGAGCCCAGGAAGGCTCCAGGGCTATTCCTGCAGCTGCTTCCCAAAACAGCCCCATGCTTCTGGGGGGCTGCCCGGGCTGGGGGAGAGATGCGCGTGCCCTTGCCCTGCTGCTGCCTGCGCCGCTGTCCTATCGCCTGTGCCTTTTCCTTGTAATTCCTGGCTTTCTTCTCGACACACCCAGCCACTCTTTTTTTTTCCCAACAGCTTTTCTTGTCTCTATCTTTCTCTTTCTCTCTCTCTTCCTGTCCATGTGTCTTTCCCTGGCCCATCCTTCCTTCCCCGCCCGTAGATGTGTCCGACTTTGAGAACAATAATGATGCTAGAGGGGCAGAGCTGAGTCACCGCCATGACAATCTCTCCACAGTGACCAATGCCATCGCCGGGATCAGCCCCTCTTCCTCCCTGTCGGCCTTGTCCAGCCGCGCCGCCTCCGTCGCCAGCCTCCACGAGCGCATCATGTTTGCTCCGGGCAGTGAAGAGGCAATCGAAAGGCTCAAGGTAAGAGGCCGGTGCCTGGCAGGATGGAGGACTCAGCTCAACGCTTTTGCACTGAGGCTTGTGGCGGGGGCTCAGTGTTTTCTGGAAACCCATTATGGGTGATTCTCACGGGAAGCGATGCTTGGGCATGCTCTTGCAGAGCGGACAGACTCAGAGCTGCCCAGTGCTCTGGACTGCTGGCCGGGAGAGGGTTTGGTGTGGTAGGGTCCACCTGGTGCTGCCATCTTCCCTGTGGGGTGACTGCTACCTTTGCCCTGCGGGACGGGTGCTCCTGGCTCGGGATGGGCGCTCCTGGCTCAGCATGGCGCAGGAGCGGGCTGGCAGCAAGGTGATGGAGAGGCTGGTCTTTGTGCCTCACTTTTTAACATGGGGATGATAGAAAGACATGGGTGAAATGCTGCCACGGCTCGTTTAAACCAGCCTGAAACTGGAACCATTGTCTCGCTGCGACATGCTGGGCTGGCAGAGCAGGCAGGTCTGCTGCCCATAGGATGCGCTAACCCCCTGCTAACCCCACACTCACCAGGAAACGGAGAAGATCATCGCGGAGCTGAACGAGACATGGGAGGAGAAGCTGCGGAGGACGGAAGCAATCCGGATGGAGAGGTAGGTGGGTTGGGGTGGGATGGGATGGCCTGGGTTCCCCAGGCATCTCCCCTCCTCTGCACTTTGCCTACAGCAGTTCAGTTCCTGGGAGCAGCCAGGCAATTTGACCATCCAGACGTACCTTGGCTGCCCCCTGGGCACCCCAGTGCCCACCACGTTAGCCTGCACGGACGCGGTCTGCTCTGAGAAACTCTCCTGAGGCACGGAGAGAATGGAAGCAAGCCCTACGGCTGTGATTCATGGGGCAAACTCGTGGGCTTGGGTCCTGTCCTGGGCTTGTCTAGTGCCGGCTCCAGGGGCTCGTGGGGCTTTGACAGGCTCTTTTTTCCCTTGCTCCTTCAGGGAGGCGTTGCTGGCCGAAATGGGGGTGGCCATGAGGGAGGACGGAGGCACCTTGGGTGTTTTCTCTCCTAAAAAGGTAGGATCATCTTATTTTCTTCTTCCTGGCAAACGAGGGCTGGTTTGTACCCCCACAGCTCCCTTCCGACCTGCCCTGTCACTGCCGGCCAGCCCCAAATATTTCACTAGCCTTTTCTTGGCTCTGAAACCTACAGGGGGAAATCTCAGTGTTGACCCTGCTGGGTACAAACATCGGTAGAAACACATGGCTAAACGTCCAGCCCCCATTGCCTGGATGCTGTCCCCATTCAGGTGGCGCTTCACTGACGATCACTGTGTTGGACTTCAGTGTCAGCTTATAAAAATCCATACTTTGGGCTATTTGAAATTGCCGCCCCTGAAACTGGCAAGTCCTCGCTGAGAAATGTGGGTGTGGAAACATTCCATACACTTTGTTGCTTTTAGCATCCTGGGAAGTATTTTCTAAGAAAATACTGGCTGTGCCCCAAAGAGTTAGTGTGGCAGCGAACCCTGCCAACCACCAGTTACAGCACATCGCTGCCCCTCGCTCGTCTGTATAATCATTGTGGTAGTGACGTCCAGTTCACAGCCCCAACCCCATGAAGCCCGCAGAGCAGCATGGGCTGCTGAGGTGCAGGCACGTGCAGGTAGGACCAGGGCGCACTCGCTCAGCTCTCCCACTGCACCGAGGGATGCTCTGAGAGCTGCCCTGGCAGGTGATGCTGGTTGGCTTGGCCAAACATCTTTGTAGATGCGTGTGTCCCCAGCTGAGGTGGTGACATTTGATGATGAAGGCTTCAGGACCTTCCCCTTGTGTGCCTTGGCATGGCTTTTAGGACAAATTTCTACACCGTCGTCTTTGTTTCTCATTCTCGTCCTAGCTGCTGCCTCTTAGGACCCCAGACCTTTGTGTAGAAAGTGTCGGGGTTTATTCGCCAAAGCAGGTTGGTCTTGGAGGTGGGGCATTGCTGTGGTGGTCTTGGTGCCTCCTTACTTTTCAGCTGTCTGGTGGGTGGAAACTCCTCTGACTTCTCCAGTGGCTAGCGAGGAAAGTTAGCGTTGATAGCGTGCAAAACCTTGTTTCGTTAAGGGCAAAGCAGGGCAGGACTTTGTTGTCCTGCTGTATGCCATTGCTGGAGTGGTTACATCTCCAAGGAGCTCAGTGGAAGGTAGAGCATCTGCCTTCTACTAGCCAGCCTTGCAAATCTGGAGAAAAACTGCAAGCTGAAGGAGTTCAGACCCCAGGGCTACGTGTCTGCCTAAAGGGGCCTGAGGTTAAACGTTACAGCCAATTTATTCCTGCCAGCCACCATGGAGAAGAGCCTGTGTTTCCCTTGACCTCCAGCTCTCCTGCACCATTTGGAGTGAGTCTCTTCTATCAGCCAGGGCTCATAGCACTGTTGTGATAGGGAAACGTCTGCATGCTGCGTGTCAGTGGGCTGATAAGATGTTTCTTATGGTCTCTATTCTTATTTCTGGGAAACTCAGAACTTCACCTACTGATACTCACGGGACTTTGCCTGTTGCCTGAAGGTGCAATCACAGCAGCTTGTGACGGGGTGAGATAAGCTAGCTGCAGCCAGAGAAGTCTGTGGCCGGGGGAGAAACTTCCCTCTCATCAAGAACAAAGTCATTTGTAACCCAGGGGAAGAAAGTGATGGGAGGAAACTGTTAGGAAGGAGACCAGGGAGTGAAATTCAGCCTGGAGATACGGCTTCAGGTCTCCACTACTTTTGGTTGAACCTCTGGTCTGGAACCTGCTCTTTTAGGTGCTTCATCTGTCCTTGTACCATCAGTGGAGGAAAACGGGCACTTTTAGTTTCTCTCATCCTAAACCAACCACTGCATGGGATGTGTCTCTGCCTCAGTTACACTGTCTGCAGTGGAGCTGGGAGCTATGGTGAGGCAAGGGCCTGTGGACACGCAGTGCAGGTGAGCAGGGTCCCGCCCTAGGAGACACTAAGCCCTATCAGGGACTCCCCATGGGAAATGTTTGGCTGCGTGTTGGGCCTGTTTGCAACACGAATTTTCAAAGGCAGCCGGTGGAAGGGTGCCCAGGGCTCAGCCCTTTGAGGAGGAAAGCAAGGAGGCATGTGGAGGCAGGTCATCCTCATCCCAGCTGCTCGGTTCTCTGCAGTCTCCTTGAAAAGTACTTGCCTGGGCATGTTGTCCTGGAGCTACAGAGGGCAGGAGAGCCCATGCAGGCAGCAGCCTAAGGTGCTGCTGAGTTCCCACCTCCCTCGGGAGCATCCCTCAGTGCACGGGTCGACGGGGTGCACCGGGGTGACTCCTTGTTCGTCTCTCCCAGACACCCCACTTGGTCAACCTGAACGAGGACCCGCTCATGTCCGAGTGTCTTCTCTACTACATCAAGGACGGGATAACGAGGTGAGGGCCAGGTCTCGTGGAGTGGTGGGAGCCTAGCCCGTATCTCAGTGCCTGAGTTGCCTGGTGGGCAGCCTGGTGACAGCTGTCCCCGGGCTGGGCACCATTCCTGGGGCATCCCCAAAGTGCCATAGCCATGTGGGAACAATGTATTTGCCTGGCAATCTCGTTAGGGACGTTGGTCCTGCTGTGCACCAAGGGCTGCTCCTGTCAGCTCCAAGGATGGTTTTGGGGGGAGGCCCAAGGAAGGGCTGCTTTGAGGAAAGATCAAGCTGGGTTTCCCCCCGGCAGGGTTGGCCGGGAAGATGCAGAGAAGAGGCAGGACATCGTTCTCAGTGGGCACTTCATTAAGGAAGAGCACTGCCTTTTCCGCAGCGATACCAAAACCGGCGGTGAAGGTATTCCTTGTCTGAAGGGACTCCACCTCCCTGGGGACCCCAGTCCCTCTGTGTGTCCCCAGCACCTGCCCCAGCTGGGGATCCTGCCCTCCTCAGATTGTGGGGCTCTCCCACATGACTGCGGCCTCTCCGTGCTTCCAGAGCGAGCTATGGCCCTCACCTAGCTGGGAGGGAAGCTCATGCAAGGCACGTGGAAGCTGCTGTGGAGGCAAGCCAGGGAGACCAGGGTGGGAGGGAAGAGCAGACCGTTGATGATTCCACCACCCAAGACGCAGAGCAGAGCTCACCCTGCAAACCAGCAGGAACCTGGGGGTGAAAGGGCTTTGGGAGACGAGCCTGGAGATGCATGCTGGAGGCTTTGATCTCCTCTCATGCCCAGTCTCCAACTGCTTTTAGTCCTTGGGGCTGCTCTGATTAACATGAGGTTGGCCAAGCTCTGTTGGTTGCCCAGGGTGTGGGTGCTACTGGTGGGTACCCCGGTGTCCCCCCACTCCGCATCTGGGGTGCTGGCTGGGGCAGCTCTCCCTTTCCGAGGCTGCAGGAGCAGCAGAGTGGGAGATGCAGGATTTATCCCTCTGCTTCCACCTTACCTTCGCTCCCTTTCTACCCCTCCCACCGTCTCTGCAGTAATAGTGACCCTGGAGCCCTGTGAAGGTGCCGACACCTATGTGAATGGCAAAAAGGTGACAGAGCCCAGCATCCTGCGCTCAGGTGGGTCCCTGGAGCCAGCACACCAGCGCTGATCTAACCCGCCTCCCTCCATCCCATGGGGCCCTGCAGGTTGTCCCACATTAAACCCACGCCCTTTCCCCCCACCACACATGCATCCCTGTAGGAAACCGCATCATCATGGGGAAGAGCCACGTCTTCCGCTTCAACCACCCCGAGCAGGCTCGGCAAGAGCGGGAGCGGACCCCGTGCGCCGAGACCCCTGCTGAGCCTGTGGACTGGGCTTTCGCCCAAAGAGAGCTGCTGGAGAAGCAGGGCATCGACATGAAGCAGGAGATGGAGCAGCGGTGAGGGCATGGGGACTGGGGTGATGGGGAGTTGGGTATCCACCTGCAGGCTGGTTATCCGCTCCTTCCCTGTTCGTCCCAGGCTCCAAGAACTGGAGGACCAGTACCGGAGGGAGCGGGAGGAGGCGAATTACCTTCTTGAGCAGCAGAGGCTGGTAGGTGGCCAGGACCTGGCTCCTTCTGAGGCTGCCCAGGCATGACTGAGTCCTGGCAGATGTTTGCATGGGGTGGCTCTGTGTGTCCTAAAAACAAGGGCAAACCTGTTGTTCCTGGGGTTGTCCCCATAAACATGGATCCAGAGGAGGGAGGAGGCTGAGTTCCTGCGGGGGGGAGAAGTGCTATGTGGCAGCATGGAGGAAGGTCACACCTTGTGTGTTGCATCATCCCTCTCCCTGCTTCCCCTAGGACTACGAGAGCAAATTGGAGGCTTTGCAAAAGCAGATGGACTCTAGGTATTACCCTGAGGCAAACGAGGAAGAGGAAGAACCTGAGGATGAAGGTGAGGGCTGGGTGCCACCACAGGGTTTTGATGCTCTCTGTGGGAGCAAGAAGAGTGGACTGCGGGTCCCCTGGGCACCTCTGTGCCAATGTCTTCCCTCCCAGTGGTGAGGTGACTGTCCCTCCGTGTCCCCACAGTGCAGTGGACAGAGCGGGAGTTTGAGCTGGCCCTCTGGGCCTTTAGGAAGTGGAAGTGGTACCAGTTCACGTCCCTCCGTGACCTACTCTGGGGCAATGCCATCTTCCTCAAGGAAGCCAACGCCATCAGTGTGGAGCTGAAGAAGAAGGTGGGTGCCTGGGGCTCCTCTCTGGCTTGCTGTGGCACCCACGGCAGAGGCCACAAGCATGGGCAGCTGAGGAAGTGCCGAGGAGGGGGTTGCTGAAGGCACTGCGCGGAGCCCGCTGTCCTCCCAGGTGGCTCACCATCCCCCTCTGCCCCTCTTCAGGTCCAGTTCCAGTTCGTGCTCCTCACGGACACGCTGTACTCGCCTCTCCCTCCTGACCTGCTGCCTCCCGATGCTGCCAAGGACCGGGAGAAGCGGCCATTCCCCCGGACCATTGTGGCTGTAGAGGTGCAGGACCAGAAGAACGGGGCAACGCATTACTGGACCCTGGAGAAGCTGAGGTGGGTGAACGATGCCCATGCCGGAGAGGGTGTGGCTGGCCTCAGCCCAGTTTCTCACTGCTGCCTACCGCATCCCTCTCTGCCTGCAGGCAACGCCTGGACTTGATGCGTGAAATGTATGACCGTGCAGCAGAAGTGCCTTCTAGCGTCATCGAGGACTGTGACAACGTGGTGACCGGCGGAGATCCTTTCTATGACCGCTTCCCCTGGTTCAGGCTGGTTGGCAGGTGAGCGCTTCGGCTCCTTCTAAGCGCAGCTGGGACCTGCAGGCAGCCCTGTGGGAAGAAGTGCCGCCGGCTCTGCCGTGCGCAGAGCATTCGTTTCCCTGGGGCCGTGCTGCGGGAGGATGCATTGGCCCCCCGGTGCTGGTCAGGGCCCATCTTGCCTGCGATGGCTCTCCTCTGCATTGGCTGCCGGGACCCCAAGGGACCCGCAAGCTGCTGGCAACGCTCCCGCTGCCTGCTGTAACACAGTGCTGTGAGGCACGGGCTCTTGGCTTGCTGCTGGTGGGAGGCAGGGGGCCATGGCTGTCCAGCAGACCGAGAGCCCGTGCTGTTGTGACCTCCGCCCCGGCGGGCACGCGTCCATGTGCACGCGTTGGTGTCCAAGCATCTGTCTGTATGGTATGTGCTGTGCATCTCCGTGTGCTTCCCGCACGCCGGTTTGAAGGGTGCAGTGCTGGCGACAAGGATGAGCCACCCCAGAGAAGGGGTCTGCCTCGGCGGGCAGAGGGAGCAGGGGGCTGAGCCGCACGGCCCAACCAACCGCACCTGCCACGGAAGCATCCCCCCCTGTGCCACAGCACGTGGAGAGATTCCCTTCGGCAGCGGGGATGGTGGCGAGCATCGTGCCACCCACTCCGTCCCTGCGTTGCCCACAAAGCCAGCGAGGGGAATCCCCACTGTTGGCACCAGTTCCTTGGGTCACTCTTTTCTCCGCCCTTTATAGCCAACAACCATTGGTGGCTTCCTTTAGAGATGCACCGGACGGGCAGGTCTTTATTTCCCGACATCCCTTGGTTTAAGCAGAAAAAACACCCACCCCAAAACCCAGAAAAAAAAAACAACCCGAAAAAAAAAACCCAACCCCCCAAAAAAGCAAAATTCCTATTCTTGCTCTCTCTGTTTGGAACAGCTGGTGTTAACCTGTCTTCTATCTTGTTGTACTAACCTTAGTTCAGATATCTCTGGCTGCAACAGCTCTCCTCTTTTCAACACATGCATGAGCGAGCGCATGGCTGATCTCACCCCCTCCCCTACCTTCTCGAACCCCGACTCCGACATCACCGAGCCTGCAGATGCACCGGACGGGCAGGTCTTTATTTCCCGACATCCCTTGGTAGCAGCAGAAAAAACACCCACCCCAAAACCCAGAAAAAAAAAACAACCCGAAAAAAAAAACCCCCCCCAAAAAAGCAAAATTCCTATTCTTGCTCTCTCTGTTTGGAACAGCTGGTGTTAACCTGTCTTCTATCTTGTTGTACTAACCTTAGTCAGATATCTCCTGGCTGCAACAGCTCTCCTCTTTTCAACACATGCAAGGAGGAGGAGGAGGAGGAGGAGGAGGAGGCGGAGGACCTGGAGGAAGACATCTTTCCGGAGTGCCCGCTGTGTGATGGCCGGGATCCATTTTACGACCGCTCCCCCCTGTTCAGTTTAGTAGGAAGGTTGGTGAGGTTTTAGGAGAGCATGCCGGGAAGGAACTAGCTCTTTCGCATGAGGGAACTGCTTTCGGACACGACTCCCACCTCCGGGGCATCCCGGAGGGGCAGGGGGTAGCCAGCCGGCTGGGATTGCCACCGAGGCCGGGGCACCTGGCGGGGCGGCGAGGTGCCCACCGAGGTAGGGCTGTGACGAGCACAGCGGTGGTAGGGGATAGTGGGGGAAGACAGACGGCGCCAACTCTGCTGGAGACTCTTTAGGCAGGTCCCTCTTCAGGGCGGCCCCCGGGAAGGGGAGCTCTGCTGCGTCTCCAGCATCAAAGGAGCCAGGGGAACCACATGGGGGTCTCGGTCCTGGGCATTTCTGTCCCAGGGAGGGCCACCTCCCACCTGGCTTGGGGTGACCCTGTGGTGCTGCTGGCTGGGGACACACAGGCACTTCAAAGCTGTGCGTGCCTCTGGCACCGGTTTGGCCATCCTGGCTGTGTCGGTCAGCGTGAGCCCCCCTGGACATGGAGGCTTGGATGTCCCCAGGCAGTCAGGGGGACAAAGCTGAGGGGAGTGAGGGGAGAGCTGGGCACAGGATGGAGAGGAGGGCTCTGTGAAAAGCGGTGTTTTCTCTCGCCACCTGTACCCAGTGCTTGGCTTGGGGTCATCCCTGCCAGCGTGGCACAGGAGATGTTCAGGGAGGTCGTGGGGACCCGTGTGCAGGCTCCAACTCCTCCTTGGCTCCAGCCAAGGACAAGAGCTTTGATTTCTCATAGCTGTGGCCAGGAGACCCCCCTGGGCTCCATCAGTCTTGGCCTGGAGAAACCTACCAGTCACCGCAAAACCGGCTGTGCTGCCAAACCCGGTCGCAATCTGCCCATCCCCAAAATGGGATTCAGTGCTGCCGGCTCTACTCCGGTGTTTTCCCAAGGGGATGTGCACCTGGAGCAGGTCCCGGAGCCTCTGCCCCAGGCAGGAGCCAGAGGAGCTCATGACAGTGAACCTGTCCCCACTGGGGCTGCCCTTATGGGTGGAGCTGGAGCTCCTCTTCCTTGGTGTGCTAAAGCCAGGCTTATCCCTGCCAGCCAGGGTGTGGGTAGCAAGGTGGGAAGGAGTGGGACCAGCGCAGGCAGAGAGGGTGGAGGTGGGGTAAGAGTCCTGCAGCCTCAGACCGAAAGAGCTGGGTTCTTCCCCCTTTTTTCTTTTTTCCGGAGGTGGGGTAAGAGTCCTGCAGCCTCAGACCGAAAGAGCTGGGTTCTTCCCCCTTTTTTTTCTTTTTTCCTTTTTTCCTTATTTAAAAAAAAAACAACAAACCATCAAAAAAACCCCCAAACTCTTGGGGGCACCTAAAAAAAACAAACAAGGCCCTGCGGCAGCAGCCCCGCTCCGTGCTGGGGGCACATTCCCTGGAGCTCGGCGCCTTCCAACTTCTTTTGAGTCTGCCCTGGGTTTGGCTCCCCGCGCAGCAGCTCCGCCGGCCACATTTCTTGTGAAGTGTGCTTGGATTGGTTTATGATTGGATCGTTGTCTTTGATTTTTTTTCCCTTTCATTTTTTTCTTTTAGTTTTTTTTAATTTTTATTTTTTGGGGTTTTTTTTTAGCTGCTGGCTCTATCTCTCCAAAGCTTTAGCGAAAATTGGGGTTATTTCACTTTTGTCTTCCTTTGGAAAGGCTTTTCTTTGGTCTGAGCATGCCATCTTTGCACCTCACCAATCTTGTGGTTAGTGTCCCTGCCCTCCTTCCTCTAGTGACACACTTGTCCCCCTCCTCCCCGCCTGCCCCCCCCTCCCCTTCTTTCCTTCCCTCTCCACCCCCCTGGCTTCATCACCAGCTGCCCCGCGATTTCGGGTGGGTGGGCGCACCCAGATCCCTGTGCTTTTGAGACCTCCCTGTGGTCGCAGGACTCTGCCCTGGGCATGCGGTCCTGCTGGGAAGCCCTGGCATGGTCCAGCCACTTGTCCCTAGTGGCCTCCAAGAAGAGATGGGGTGAGATGGGCCTGGCAGGAGACGGTGATGGGGCATCACCTTTGCTTCCACAACTTGAGTCCTTGGAGATGCTTTGGGTGGAAAAAGCCTCAAGCAGCGGTTGGAGGTCAATGGGAGTCACCAGAGCAGGGGGAACTTCTGGACTTTGGGGCTTGGGCTGCAAATGCAGGGCTGGGGCCTCCTGCAAGAGCCCCCTGGGCACTTTCGGGTGCCATTGGATGTCTGCAAAGACACCTGTGAGGTTGGGATGTCGTGAGCAGCACTGCCAGCCGCCTGGCAATGCAACCTTCATGGGAGCCTCCTGAAGCAGAAGTGTCCTCGCTGGCCCCAGCACCATCCCACCCCATGACACTCGAAGACGCTGCATGTCAAGACGCTGGTGGGTGCCTCGGGGAGGGGTACCGGGTACCCCGTACCCCCTCTTGCTGGGAGTGGTGCCGCTCCACAGGCAAGGGCGGTTTGCACCACTCAGCAGGGAGCTCGGTGCCAAAGGCTGTGGAGGTGACTTGTCACCGCTGAGGGCATGGCGCGCTGCCATTGCCAGAGCACCAGGAGGACCGTCAAATGGCGAGCTGGCTGGCGGCGAGGTTGAGGAAGGCAGCAAGAAGAGGCAAAATGCTTGAGAAACAGGGAGCTGCAGCCTGGCAGGAGGTGCTGGCAGAGATGTGGTGTGGCCATCATGTTGTACCCCGGCATGGTAGCATCGGTGACCTGGATGCCACAGAGGATGGCAGGGAGGCTCAGACCTGCCACACGGGGAGCTCCTTCCTCACCCACAGGGAGAAGCCAGCTGTGCTGTCCCTGTGATGTGCTGGCAGGTGGCCTGGGACCCCGAAGCCACACATGCAAAGGGATGGGGTGGGGGGACACATGCTGCCAATGCCACCAGCCATGCCGTGCAGCCCCCCTCCCAGCCGGGCAAAGGCTGCCTGCAGCCACCAGCGGTCCTGCAACACTGTGGGCAGAGCTGGGGCCAGGACCCCCCCAGCAGGGTCATCTCTGGAGGCTTCTGGCCTCCGGCCAGGACCTCCTCCTCTCCCCTCCTTTGCTCCTGCCAGCCACTACCTCCCTCATCATCCTCCCTTCCCCCCCGCCTTACCCCTGCCCCCCCCATCCCGTGACTCCGCAGTCGCCCCTGAGTTGTGTTGCAGCACCTTCTGCCCTAGTCCTCCGGCTCTCCACTGCAGAGAAGGTCCTCTTCCCTCCCAGCTTCAGGGTGGCAACAGCACAGCCCCCCTCCCCTCCCCACCCGCCACGGAGGTGACAGCCGGAGAGGTATGCGAGCCCTGTCTGCTTCGTGGTGCTGCCCGCGGTGCGCTGCCCACCCACCTGCCTGCAGCACGCTGCCCGCCTGCTGCCCACTCCCCACCCCTCTCGGCTGGCCCTGGCTGCCTTCTCTTTAGTTTTGCTTTGCAGCGCCGCGGTCGCGCCGTGAGCGGTGACCTGGGATCCCGGCCGCCACCGGCCGCGCCACCTGGACCCGTGGGTGGGAGCAGTGACCGCTCCCCCCCGTGTTGTGTGTGTCCCCCCCCTCTCCGGCAGGGCCTTCGTCTACCTGAGCAACCTCCTCTACCCCGTGCCCCTGGTCCATCGCGTGGCCATCGTCAGCGAGAAGGGTGAGGTGAAGGGCTTCCTGCGCGTGGCCGTCCAGGCCATCTCAGGTAGGAGGGGGATCCCCGCCAAAATGTGCCCCTCGCATCCCCCATGCCCCCCACACTGGCTCACCCCCATCCCTCCTCCAGCTGATGAGGAAGCCCCTGACTACGGCTCCGGGGTGCGGCAGTCGGGGACGGCCAAGATATCCTTTGATGACCAGCACTTTGAGAAGGTACGGTGGCGGCCAGCTCTTGGTGGGTGCCTGGGAACCGCAGACCCCCGCCTGCCACAGTGATGCTTCCCATTGGGACCACCAGGCTCCCAGAGGTGCAGGCATCACGCTGAAGGGACCATGCTCCCGGTCCACCCGGCAGCCCCCAGCCCTCTGGCACCCACCGGTGTACCCTGCTCTTGCCCGTGTCCCGGCGGGGGGGGCTGCTGTGGGGCGGGAGGGTAGAGCTGGAGGTGCCCCAGTGCTTGGGGCAGTGGTGACGGTGCAAGCAGACCACCTCAGAGACCACCAGCATCCTAAGCCCCACTCCTGGCGCAGTTCCAGTCGGAGTCGTGCCCGGCCGTGGGGATGTCTCGCTCGGGGACCTCCCAGGAGGAGCTGCGTATCGTCGAAGGCCAGGGGCAGGTCAGCGACATGGGTCCCTCTGCTGATGAAGTCAACAACAATACCTGTGCAGGTGAGGGGGTGCTGACAAGTGGTTGGGGAGCAGCCCCCCGTTCCGGCACCCAGCCTCCTGCACCCGCCCAAGCATTGAAAGCCCACTGCCCCAGTGCAGGGCTGCTGGCAGACACCAAGGGGGGTGACTTGCTGAGGACCCTCCTCCCTGCAGTGACCCCAGAGGACCTTCTGCTGGACAGCCCAGAGAAGCCTGCGCCAGACGGGCCACTGGAGACGGCTCTGGACCACCTGAAGCTGGGCAGCATCTTCACTTTCCGCGTGACGGTCCTGCAAGCCTCTAGCATCTCTGCGGAATACGCAGACATCTTCTGCCAGTTCAAGTGAGCCCCCAGTGTCCCCTGGCCCCATGTCTCCCACCGTGCTCCAGCCATTGCCTTGGGGCCGGCAGTGAACGTCAGGGAGCCCCAGCCCCAACACCTCTGAGCCCTTCATGGATGGGGAGGCAAAACCAAGGGCTGCGGGATGAGCCCATGTGCTTGTCTGGTACCTTGTTTGGTCGCTGGTGAAAGGCAGGGAGAGGCTCCCATCAGCTTTGGGGGAGTCCTGTGCCAGCCCAGGGTGCAGGCGGCAGGCCCAGGGAGAGTGGGTTCTTCTCCTGGTCCCTGCCCTCTCTCCCATCCCTGCTCCGGCACATCCCCATCCCACAGCCCCCGAGCCACCTTCCTTCCCTTTGCAGCTTTATCCATCGCCATGACGAGGCCTTTTCGACAGAGCCCTTGAAGAACACGGGACGGGGGCCACCGCTGGGCTTCTATCATGTCCAAAATGTGCGTACCCCTCCCCTGCGGCTAGCAGGGTCTCTGCAGGGCCATTGGCTAGATCTTCTCCCTGGGGGAGCAGCTTCCTCCTGGCTTTCCCAGCCTGTCACAGCCACCCAGCTAAGCCAACCATAGACAAGGTGGATGTGTTGGGGAAAAACCAAAAGCCCTTGCCCTCCACCCAAAAAGGCTGGGATTTCATGGTAGTGGTCTTGGTAGGGAGAGCATCCCCGGGCCATGGGGAAGGGGATGGGTGAGGGATGCAGGGGATTGGACAGGCTTGCACCCTCCCACCTCCCTGGTGCTGTTGCCATCTGCATCCCTTTCCCAGCTAAACTGCGCCATCAATGGGTCTTTCTCTTCTAGATCGCCGTGGAGGTGACCAAGTCCTTCATTGAATACATCAAGAGCCAGCCGATTGTATTTGAAGTCTTCGGGCACTATCAGCAGCACCCCTTCCCACCCCTCTGCAAGGACGTCCTGAGGTGGGTGCACCCTGGGCCACCCCTGGGTGCCACGGGGCACCCAGTGCAGCTGGCTTCCTGGGGACCCAGAGAGAAGGGGGGCAGGTGGTGGGAGGGGGTGGCCCCCAGGCATAGGTGGGGTTGGTTGGGTTCTGGGGTCCCTGTGGATGCTTTAACTGAGCCTGTTCTCTCTGCAGCCCGCTGAGGCCATCCCGGCGCCACTTCCCCCGTGTGATGCCGCTCTCCAAACCAGGTAGGGGATCTGGCCTCCTGCTCCTCTGCCCACCCATGGTCCTCATGCTGGGTGCAGGGTCCCCTTCCCCAGGGGGACCAGTTAGGACCCCAGGGACACCACAAAATGTACTGCAGACCAGAGCACCTGAAAGCCCTTGGCACCCATTCCCACAGCACCTGGCTGATGCAAAACCCCCTTCTTCCTCCTGTGGAGTGGCAGGGAGCAGGCTACCTGCCCTGGACGGCTCAGATGGCCACCCAGCCCTGCCATCCCGCAGGGGCTGCAGGGTTCCTGCTGTGCTCTGGCCACTGAGATGCAAGTTGTTGGGGTTTGACTGAGCGCCATGGTTTGCTGTGAGGTCCCTGGGCCAGCACCAGGGGAGCCTCCCTCCAGCTGTCCCTAAGTGGCAGTCCCAGAGCGGCTGTCCCCGAGTGGCTGACCCTGAGCAGTCTCTGGAGCGGTGCTGTGTGGTTTGGGATGTGTCCATGCTGGGGCTGCGGGCTCAGAGTTTGCATCTTGGGGATGTGTGAGGCTGGCCGCATCCTGACACCCTTGCTGCTCCTCATTGGGCATGGGAGAAGGCACACCACTGGTCAGCAAGGTCCCTGGGATGGGGCTGTCCCCCTCTATGCACTCCTCCTGCCTTCCTGCTGCCTCTGTGTGTCTCCCCGTGGTCCCTGCCTGCTCTGCCCTTATCCTGCCTGCTGTCACATGCCTCACTCCAAACATCAGCAGCAAGCTCGCCCTTTAAGCTGTCTTTCTGACCCACCACAGTGCCCGCGACGAAGCTGAGCACCATGACTCGGCCCAGCGCTGGCCCGTGCCAGTGCAAGTACGACCTGATGGTCTTCTTCGAGATCTGTGAGCTGGAGGCTAACGGCGAGTAAGTCCTGCTGGAAAGGAGAGCGGGAAGGAGAGGGAGGCAGCGAGGTGATTTGCCTGGTGCTCAGCACCTCTGGGCAGGCTGACAAGGCTCTGTGTCATGGTGCAATCCTCTCTTCCAGCTACATCCCTGCTGTCGTGGACCACCGTGGAGGCGTGCCGTGCCATGGGACCTTCCTCCTCCACCAGGTACTCCCTCCCTGAGATGCCGTCCCAGCTCTGGCTCCTGCCAGGAGCTGTGTTAACCACTGTCCCTCCTCTCTGGCCTCGCGGGTCTCAGGGCATCCAGAGGAGAATCACCGTCACCTTGGTGCATGAAACAGGCAGCCTCATCCGCTGGAAGGAAGTGCGGGAGCTGGTTGTGGGTAAGCCGAGACAGGTTGGGTGGGCTGTGAGCAACCCCCAGCCTGCCGAGCTCCTGAGCATCCTCTCAGGCTGTTTCTTGCCCACATTCCCACGTGGGGCTTTATGCCTTGGCTACCCTCCCGCCCTGCAATAGCAAAGTGGCGGCTGCCTGACACCAGGACACCACGTCGGCAGGATGCCTCGGTCCCAGCCACCGTGTCCAGGAGCTGGACCAGGACCTCCAGCGCTGAGTGGCTGAGCACCGGGCGGCTGCTGCCTGTGACGGGGGGGCTGCTGGGGGATGAAGGCAGGCGGGCTGCCCCTGCCCCTTGCTGGGACCCTCACAGGGCTACCACCTGTCACCTGAGCGGCGTCCCCGTGCTGTGCTTGCAGGTCGGATCCGTAACACCCCAGAAGCAGATGAGTCTCTCATTGACCCCAACATCCTGTCCCTGAACATCCTCTCCTCCGGATACATCCACCCCTCCCAGGACGACCGGTGAGTGCAGCTTCTTCTCTTGCTCTTCCCCTGCTGTGGTGAGGGCTGGGGGGGGTGACATGGGGAGCCCCTCTCTCCCCTGGGGGGGCTCTCAGCCCCTCTGCAGGGTCCTGCCAACCCTCTGCTGCCTCGGGGTGGGGTTTTTCTGGAGCCGCAGAGGGTCTCGGGGTTCAGGGCCACCAGCCCCCTTCCTCCTCCTCCCCAAGGCCTCTCCGCGCCGGGCTTCGGCACTACAGGGAATTTGGGTGGGGTCCTGCTCTCCGGTGGTGGCTGTGACTGCCTGGTGCAGAGAGCCAGTTGGTGCCGGTGCTGGGAGGATGTACCAACCCCGCAGCTGGAGGGAACCTGCCATGAAGGGCTATTTGTCCCGTGTCCCAGCAGACTCACTGGAAAGGCCGCTTGGTGCCCGTGGCTGGTCCCTGTCTGTGCGGGGGTGATGCAGGAAAGCCATCCCCCATCATTGCTGGGTGACTTCGAGGATGCCTGCCTCTTCATGCCTGTCCCGGGGGGCTGTGTTACCCCTGTGGGTTTGGCAGGGGTGTGGGAGCAGTGAGGCTGGAGGTTTTTTATCCCCAAGATCTCCCTGGCTGGGTCCTGTGGTGGTGGCGGGGAGCAGTGGGTGCAGAGAGCACAGCTGTCCTCTGCATCAGGGCTGCTGGTGAAACTTGGGGGACTGGCGGGGGATCCCTGGCCAGAGTGTGTGTGTGCGGGCAGCCGCAACAAGACAGGGACGGTCATTGGCAGCACTGGGAGCAGCGGAACCAGTCCTGAGCTGTGCGCATGGCGGTTGCCAGCATAGGAGCATCCCAGCAGGGAGCAGGGACCACTTTTCCCCTCATTTTCTTTAGAGTCACCGCTGCCCCAAGGTGGCCTGTCCCAAGGCGGCCTGTCCCAAGGCAGGGTGTTTTCGGGGGGATGACAAGGGTCTGAATGGGAGGTGCCACCCTTGCAGCACTCCCAGGGCAGCTCCTGGGCACAGTGGAGCGGCAGGCATGCGGTACCCGGGCAGCAGAATCAAATCACAGGGTCAGGTATGCGTGCGAGTGTCGGACCAGGAGAGTGGCATAGCCACAGGGACAACAAAGCAAGGCCAGGCAGGGATGGTCGGGTGAGGAGGGCTCGGCCTGGCAGAGCTGTGGTGTTTTTTGTTGGGCTGCTGGGAGCTGGGTGGCTGTGGCACCCACGGGCTCCTGGGGCTGCGCTGTTTTATGTCAGCTCCTGATCTGGCCAGTTGGTGCAGCCAGATAGGATCTTCAGCATGTCCAGCATAGCCTGGCAGGGGGGACGTGCCTCCTGCTCCTGCCTTCCCCCCACAGGTCTTGCAGGGCAAGGGTCACAGCTCGGGCTGGGGGGATGCTCGAGGCATGGAGAGAAGCGGGGAGACAGGGGGCTCAGGTCTTGCAAGAGTCTGCCTCACCTGCACGTTCAGAGGGTCTGCGCCTCAGGACCAGCCCCGAATCGGGGCCGTGGGCTGGCGTGCGTGCCGTATCTGTCCTGTCAAGCCTGCCCAGGGCTGGGCAGGGGGAGGAGGGGGCGGCCGGCTTCCCATGGGACGCCAAGGGGCACTTGCCGCAACCCCCACCCTGCTTCCATCCCGCATGCAGGCGTGCATGCTTTGGCCCCAGCAGCCTGCAAGGATGGGCAGAGGGATGGCAGCAGGCAGAGCCAGGACCCGCTTCATCCTCCTCCCCGGCTGCTTGCGCTCCCTGCTTTGCTGCCTTATGCCACACAGCCTCCATCGCCCAGAGCAGCCCTGGCTCCCCCCACAGCCTCCCCAGTCCCCCAGAGCCACTCAGGAGGAGACCGGGGGAGCGGTACAGCTCCCTCCCTGGCACCCATCCATCCCTGCATCGAGTGCCCAGGGAGGAGGCGTGGGGGGCAGCACCCAGGGTTCCCCCTCGCTTCTCTCCGCTGCTGCCACCCATCTGAGCCCACACTAACCATGTGATTGTTTTGTGTTTTTGCAGGCAGTTTCTTGATTCGGATATGCCTAGGTATTATTTGTTTCCATTGGTTTTTTTTCCATCTCCCCTTCCTCTCTCCCTTCTTTCTTTCTCCCCGCTCGCCTCGGCACCCTCACTCCCACCAGAGGTAGCACTTGGACAGCCAGCCCCCCGTCCCTCCACACGCCCAATCCCTCCTCCCTCCCGCCCTGGCACCTCTCGCTCACTCAGCCCCTTTTGCTGTTCGTTTGGGCCGCGCTCTCGCTGGCTGCCGCTCCCCCTCGCACGCCTGCGTCCCCATCGCCTGATCTGGGTTTTCTTCTTGCTTTTTGACTTAGCTGCTCTCCCATCTCTCCGGCATCCGGCGCCGAGTGTGCCGCTCCCCCGTCGTCTCCCGCCCCAGCCCCAGCTCGGCCCCTGGCGCCGCTTGGAGTAGCTGCAGGGCTGGTGCAGACCATGACGGGGCCTTTGGGGCACCTCCAGCCCTTGCCTGGGCACCTGGTGTTGATGGGAGCACTGCTGAGCAGTGCGGCAGCATGTGCAGCGGCTGCTCACCCCGTGCCCAGTAGTCCCGTGGGCATAGGTGCGGCATATGGGCAGTGTGCGTCTGTATGCAGGTGCAATGGTGGACGTGCACACCCATATGTGGCACGGACTGTTATACCCCTGTGTAACGGGCAGAGCGGCTGTTTGGGGACGGGGTAAGTTCAGCTGGGACTGTAGGGTGAGCCTGTCATGCAGCACGTGGGCAAGAGCTGCCGGACCCGGATGCTGTCGCCAGCCTCTGGACGGGAGCATCGCTGAGGCCCCAGGGGAGGGGGCATCCCGCCACCAGGCCCCACAGTGGAAGAAAAGGGGGATGCATCTGGGACACAAGGGATGAGGTCTCCCAAGTCCTGGTGGGCTCCGTAGCTTTGTGCCTGGGAGGATGTCCTCCCTAGAGCAGCTAGAAGCTGGTCCTACTTGGAGATGCCTGAGAGCAGAGCTGTCCCTCCAGCAGCACCCTGTCCCCCCCGGGGTGCAGGGGGATGGATCCAGCACAGATCCAGCCCCCCACTGCAGGAGCACATGGGCTCGCACCGGCATTGCCCGTGGGCTTTCAGCACAGTGATGCTCTCCCTGTGGAGCAGGGGATGGGCCAAGAAATTATCTCCCACTGCATGGGTGGCGGTGGGACGGCTGGTCCCTGCCCCCGACAGGTGCCTTCCTAGGAGGCTGCACTGGGCAGGAGCTCCTTGCCCTAGGATGGTAGCAAGGGCAGAGTTAAGGGGATGGGGAGCACACGTGCTCATTTCTCAGCTGCCAGACCACGAGGAAGGTGGGAGGCAGAGGGTTTTCACCCAAGCAGGTAAACCTCTGTCTGCCCTCGCCAAGCTCCTTCTGGGCTCCTATTTGGGGTCCAGCTAGGCAGGAGCTCCTTCGGCCAGCAGTGCCGATATGGGGCGAATCCCCATGAGAGGGGCTCCCCTTCCTCATGGCCCCACTCCTGTGCCAGCCCCGTACGGATGATGCTTTCTGACCTTTCATTTTTCTGTGTGTGTATGTGTGTGTGTTTGTCCTTGGGTTGCCTTCCACTTATAGCATTTCGTTCGGAAATGACACTAGGTATTTCGCGTGCACCTGCTCGGTCTGGTCCCTCCTGCTTTTCTCTCTTTCTCCTTTGCCTCTTCCCTTTGCTTTTTGCTCTTTCCCCCCTCCCCTGAGGCTCCTCTTCTCCTCCTCCTCCTTGGGGAGCTACTCTTCTCAAGCAACCTGTGTCTGCAAAGCAATCCTTTGCCTTGGCTCTGTCTCACACGGGGGGAGTTTATGTATTTTATACACTTTCTGAAAGCGTCGCTCTCCCTCTTCTTCCAACGCGGGGGCAATCACAGCTGAGAGCCTCTCCCCGCTCCCTCTGGCTGCTCTGCCTCTCGTTAAAAGAGCCCCTCAGCCACCTGGATGCTGCTTCAGTGACGTGCCGAAGCGTCCTCGTTGAGACATTGCTGAGCCACAGCTTCCTGAGGATGCTCAGACAGGCGCCGGGGCTGCAGCAGCTCTGGGTGGCTTTGGGGAGTGGGTGTCCCATAACCCCAAGGCTGGCCCAGGAGGGAGCCCACGAGCGGGGCAGGGGGTGAAACGGGGATCCCCCATGCTCTCGAACTGGAGCCGCCTCCTGCTTCCCCCACCTTTGATTGCCTGACCCGAAGAGGGCGGTTGTCGCTTTTGCTCTGGGTGGCTGCACCGTCCTCTATGGGACCCCATAGGCACAGGGCGAGTGGGGCCAGGTGTCCCCTGCTCCTTCTCCCAGCCTGGGAGCCATGGAAAACACAGCGAGGGGAGCGACGCAGCCCAGTGGGAATGGGGATGGGTGGGGCTGGCGATCAGGGCAGAGCAAGAGCTGGAGGAGACAGCCCAACAGGGGCCAGCCACCAAATCGTGGTCCCCGGGTCCTGCTGGGGCTCAGGGCTGGCAGATGGGGGCAGCCCTGAGGAAGGGGACCTGGCTGGCAGGGGTCTGCTCTCCCAGGGGCGGGCTGGCAGCAACCCCCCAGTGCTGAGCATCCTCCCTCCTTTCCCTTCTGGCCATCATCACCCGAATGGCGACAGCCGCTCCTGGCAGGGGCCGGGAGGTGCTGCGTGCCCCAAGCTGGATGGTGGGGACCTGGCCCGGGTGCGCTGGGGGTGGCAGCCCCCTACTCTGAGCACGGGGGTGGGGCATGCACCCTCCTTTGCCCTCCTTTGCCTTCCCAGCCTGCTCTGCCTTGCCTGCACCCCAGCTGAGCCCCCACTCCTCCCGCGGTCCCTCCTCCCCAAAACCCTGATCCGTCAGCCGTTTCAAGGGCGCCACATCCCCCTCCCACCACGCGTTGTCCCCCATTGCCTTGAGCCTGCGTCCTCTGGAGTGGCTGTCCCCATCTGTCCCTGCCACACATGCATGTCCATGTGTCTTTGCAGGTCTGCTGCAGCGCTGCGGGGGGGGATGATGGCATCTCCCTGCTCACTCTCCTGGAGTTCTGGGGGGGTTGTTTTACCGGCTCTGCTATTTTTTTTGGCAGGACTTTCTACCAGTTTGAGACGGCGTGGGATAGCTCCATGCACAACTCGCTGCTGCTCAACCGTGTCACCCCATACCGAGAGAAAATCTATATCACCCTTTCCGCCTACATTGAGGCAAGGACCTTAGTCAGGGACATTGTAACACCAACAAAGTCTGGTATTTCCCCCACTGTTGGGGTGCAGCCAGCGTGAACCCCTCCTTAGCCGGCACCAATGCTAACGGGGTGCAGGATTCAACCTGGTGCTTGGGGGCCCTGTGGGACCCTGGGAGTGGAAACCGCTGGGCACCAGGGGTGGGAGAGGCCCGCTGGGCTGCCAAGCTGCAGCCCCCCTGATGCCTCCCCCCTGCCCTGCTGCAGATGGAGAACTGCACTCAGCCCGCCGTCATCACCAAAGACTTCTGCATGGTTTTCTACTCCCGGGACGCCAAGCTTCCTGCCTCCCGCTCCATCCGCAACCTTTTTGGCAGCGGCAGCCTGCGGGCTTCCGAGAGGTACCAGGATGCTCCTGCCTTTCTCGGGGAGGAGAGCCATCACCTTGGGACTGGAGCCCTCCTGGGGCATCCCAGCAGCCTGGGCGAAATAACCGGGGCATGGGGATGGGGCAGAGCTGGTAACGCCTCGTCTCCCTTTGCTTGCAGCAACCGTGTGACGGGAGTCTATGAGCTCAGCCTCTGTCGTGTGGCTGATGCCGGCAGCCCAGGTGGGTGCTGCATCTCTGCCCAGGTGTTCACTGTGAGGCCAGGATGCATGACATGGCGGTCGGGGTTGGGGCCATGCGTCTGTCCCCCCGAGCTGTGCGTCTGTCCCCGCAGGCATGCAGAGACGGCGCCGGCGTGTGCTGGACACCTCCGTAGCTTACGTGCGGGGAGAGGAGAACCTGGCTGGCTGGCGGCCCCGCAGCGACAGCCTCATCCTCGACCATCAGTGGGAGCTGGAGAAACTCAGCCTCCTGCAAGAAGTAAGAGTCTGGGCTAGAAATGGGCCGAGATGGTGCAATTTGCAGCTCAGCCCCTCGCCCTGCTGGTGCCGGTGGGACTCCCCACCCCAGGTGTCTCAGCCCTCCCGGTTGCGGGAGAAGGCAGGAGTGGGGCTGTGCCGCTGGTGCTCTCCTGTGCATCACTGCTAGCTGGGTCCCAGCAGACCTGAAGCTAATGAGCAGGTGGGGTTAATGGGGCCTGGGAAGCATGGTCCCCGAAAGGATGCCGGCTAGGGGAAGGGGCCACCCCTGAGCCTGGCTGCCTGTGCCCAGGTCGAGAAGACAAGGCACTACCTGCTCCTGCGCGAGAAGCTGGAGACGACCCAGCGCCTGGGCCTGGAGACCCTGTCTCCCTGCTCCAGTGAGGACTCCGAGTCCCGAAGCACCTCCTGCATCTCCTCCCCACTCTCTGTCGATGGGGTCCCCGAGGGCCGCACCTCTCCCTCTGAGACCCCCAGCGAGAGGCAGAAGGAGCTGGCTGTGAAGGTACTGTCCTGCAGCATCCCCAGCTCGTGGGGATGAAGCCGGGAAGGGGCTCCCACGGGGCGGCAGCGGGTTGCGGCAGGAGAAAGCCCAAGAGGAGCAGGAGGAGGAAGGTGGAGGAAGGTGCCTCCTGTCCCACTGTCCTCCTCCTCTCTCCGCAGTGCTTGCGCCTGCTCACGCACACCTTCAACAGGGAGTACAGCCACAGTCACGTCTGCATTAGCGCCAGCGAGAGCAAGGTACTGCCGCTGCCCTGGGCTCTGCCGGGCTGGTGGGGGCTGGGAGAGACGCATGACCGGGGGGCACTGGCTGGGCAGGAGCCAGATGGGCACCATGGTGCGAGTGGTCCCTGCTTTGGGGTCCCTGCTCCCTCCACTCACCCTGGTGTTCCTGGAGCTGGTGGCTCTCAGGACTGTGCCAGGAGAGCACCCTGCTGGCCGGAGGTCTTGCCTCTCCCCATATGAGCAGGCGCCTGGTCCTTTGCCTGTGCCTGGCTTCAGGCAGAAACTTGAGTCCACACCTCTGCTCCTCCACAGCTGTCCGAAATGTCCGTGACACTGATGAGAGACCCCTCCATGCCAGCTCTTGGGGTCACCACTCTAACCCCCTCCTCAACCTGCCCATCGCTGGTGGAAGGACGCTACAACGCCATGGAGGTCAGGTAAGAAGGTAGCTGGGAGGTTTGGGTGACGCCTCGGCATCCCCCAAGCAGGGCAGCTGTACCACTGGGACATGGTCAATGGGTGTTCCCCAACCGTCACTCTTCCTACACCCCAGCTTCTCCTCCCTCCTCAGACCCCCCCAGGTCTCCTCCAGGGCGGATAGCCCCGACCTGGAGCCTGCGGTAGAAGGAGAGCAGAAGAAGTCCCCAGCCCACCGGCCTGAGGAGGAGAAGGAGCCCCAGCGTTTGCTGGTGCCCGACATCCAGGAGATCCGGGTCAGGTAGGAGTGGCTGGAGCAGCCTTGGGGCTAGGGGGTCTGTGCCTTACCATTGCCACCTCCTCGTGGTCCATGTCCCACCCTGACCTCGGTCCCTTCTGCAGCCCCATCGTCTCCAAAAAGGGCTACTTGCACTTCCTGGAGCCCCACACCAATGGGTGGGTGAAGCGCTTTGTGGTGGTCCGGCGCCCATACGTCTACATCTACAACTCGGACAAGGATGCAGTCGAGAGGGCCATACTCAACCTTTCCAAGGCCCAGGTGGAGTACAGCGAGGACCAGCAGGCCATGCTCAAGGTAGGGCGCCGGGAGCCAGCCCTGCTCCATGCAGCCCCTCGGGTGAGGGACTGAGCCCTGGCTTTCCCCCAGCAGACCCCGAACACGTTTGCGGTGTGCACGGAGCACCGGGGCATCCTGCTGCAGGCGAGCAGCGACAAGGACATGCACGACTGGCTCTACGCCTTCAATCCCCTCCTGGCTGGGTCCATAAGGTACCGGGGACAGCTGGGGGAAGGGGGGCACAAGGAAGCCGTCAGTGGGGGGGTCTGTGGGCAGCCAAGTGTGCTCCCAGCCCTGCTCCCAGTGCTCTCCCTGCTGCAGCCCTCCCAGCCAGGCATTGGGAGCACCTCCTGCGCAGAGCTGTGCCTGGATGGGCTCTCAGCTGGCAAAACTTGGACCATATTAATCTTGATTTCAGCTCCTCCCCACTTAAATGCTTCAATCTAGGGCCAGATCCCAGCTGGTACAGAGGCGTTGTTGTGCTGAGTTCAAAGCAACATCCATGCCTGGCGGCATGCCTGGCCCTTCACTGTTCTTGAGAGCATCTCATTAAGTTCTTGAGAGCATCTTACTAAGTTCCAAGACCATCTCACGAAGTTCTTGAGACCATCTCAAGTGGCAGGACTAGGGGAATAGGAGTAAATGCACAGAAATTTGTGTGCTTTGGCTAAAGAGACATTAATCCCATGTCCCTCCAGCTCTGGCTGGATTCAAGCACCAGCCTGGAGCCAGGACGCCAAACCTGGGGGACCACACCTCTCCTTGTCCACATCTCTGACACCTTTTGTTCCTTGTTTTCCAAATTAGATCCAAGCTGTCCAGAAGGAGAACAGCCCAGATGAGAATCTAACCTGAAAAACACTCTCCACCTCATCCGTCTGCCAGCAGGATCAAGATAGCTGATTCTGTCTCAAGACTCCCCATGTTAACGTCTGATCTGTCATACCATCTGCTGCCCCAGCTGTCTGCTCCATGGAAGGATCTGTCTCGATTCACACCTTCACGGGGGAAACTCACTTACGTTCATAGCTGCAAAAGCCTGGACCTGCCTGGGCAGGATTTCTTGTGCGCATGCCATCTTCTGCCCATCCCCCCATGGGTGACCTTCATGTCACACCATCTCTTAATGCTCCAGAAAGGTCCCTGTCAGAGGGGAGGGAGCGAAGAGGGCAGTTTCGGCTAAAAGCTGGTCTTTGATTTACAGAGGTGGGAGTGTGGTAAAGCTTGGAGGTGGGAGAGCAGGAGGAATTGCCTCCACACAAAGGGAAAGTGGTAGTTTAGGTATGGGGATTTCCTAGTTTATTGATGTTTCTGCAAGAGACAGCAGGGTAAGATCAGGTGTCAGTAGTTTAAGATGATATTTATAAAGTATTTATTTCTATTTATGTCACAAAAATCCCATAAGTTGGGTCCTGGCCCCCGGACAATGCCTCCCCCGGGCAGGGGAGAGCCTTGGCAGTGGGCTGGGGTCCCGGAGATGCTTCCCCCGGGACATCCCTGGCATGTGCCCAGCGGCGGCGGAGTTCTAGCCCTTGCTCCCTACCCTTCCCCAACCCTCTGCTTTGCCCCCACTGCAGCTTAAATTACTCCCCTGAGTGGTGGCTGGATAGCCCACCATGTCTTCCCAAAGGAGGCAATTCCTACCTGCCCCATCTACCTCTGGAAAGGGGGACCCCGCCATCTTGGCTGGCTGGGGCACCCAGGTCCACACGGATGGGTCACCTTGCTTCGGAGCTTGGTCCTGCTGGAGGGAAAAGGAGTGCTCTGGGGATGGCTCTGCCTGTCACCTCGTGCGGGCCTGTCCTTCCCAACCAAAAAGCACATGGGCCACCTCCACTATCCTGGCCTGGGAGCCCCGGGGGGCTTGTCCAAAGAGATTCCCACACTCTTAGGGCAGGATGCCGAGGGTCCCATCCCTGCGGAGAGTGTGGAGGTTCAGGTGGCCACTTCCAAAGCCGGATGGGAAAGGTCCCCAGGAGCCGGGGCTAGGAACAACCATTCCAATCCACAGGAACCTCACTGCCCTTTCCCAAAAGGGCTGTCACATCCCTTCTCCTCCCAGCAGGACGACAGGCTCGAAGCAGGTCAGAGGGGCAGGGGAGAGGCTGGCGTGGGGGTGTCGGGGTGGGGGTGTGGCTTCTTTTTACTGTTGTAGGTGGTGTTTTCTCACTCCTCTTCCCCCACTGCAGAAGCGAGTGCCCACCTCCTTCCCACCCTGCCTCTGTCAGCACATTAATCCAGGGGGCTTCCCATGGCGGAGGTGGCTTTGCCGAGAAGACCTTCTCCTCTAGTCATCACTGCTTCCCACCTCCCCCAGCAGCAGCTCTCCCTCTCCTCCTTCTCCCGTCTCTCACCCATGAGGGGATGCTTTTGTTCGGGGCTTCCCGAGCGGCCAGCGGCATCCGGCACAGCTCTGGGCGGGAAGGCGAGCATCTTCCTCTGCACATCTCCCGGGCACCCCTCCAGCTTTGCTGTCATGCCTTCGTGGCTGACCTTCCCTTGCACAGCACGGCTGCCCCTCGGCTCTGCTGCACCTCCCTGCGCTGTCTGTGTGTGGGTATGTGTGTGTGTGTGGGGGGGTGGTGTCAGATGTGGTGCTGTCTTCTCCTTGTTATGCTCCTGTTGTGGGGGACGGGCGGGGATGCTTTTGTTCGGGGCCTCCCGAGCGGCCAGCGGCATCCGCGACCTGGGCGGGGGGCGGGAAGGCGAGCATCTCACATCTCCC